TTTTTCCTCACTGATTAAGTAGGTAATATAGTTACATACTTCAAAATTCATTCTTTTTGTAAATCCTTTCCCCCCCCAATAAATTATATATTTTAGAGATCATTCTACCTATACCAATACTTAAAGAGTTTTCTTGAACTTTTTCACAGTACAGTTTCCATTGTTTGCTATAGCTTATTTTACTGGTTCCTCTTAGATAGACATTTAGGCTATTTATAGCAAACAGTGCTATAATAAATAACCTTATATACGTTATTGTACACACACACACAAGTGTATCTGTAGGATAAATTTCTAGATATGGACTGAAAGGGATACCTGCATTTGTAATTTTGGTAAATATTGCTAAATTGACATTCTTGCAGTTGTACCAGTTTACACCCCATCATTGTGGGACTATAATAGTAGGAGCATGGGCAGCCATGGTTCAGAAAGCATGTCAAGAAGTGGGCTGGATGGCCCTCTGCATGCTGGATATGATGATTGTGTCTACTCTGCATCTGAGAGGACCTCAGATGAGCACTCAGCAGACTGGCCTGGTGGGACCACAGGTTTCAGAACAGGAAATGAAAAGGAGCCTGCTTCTGAAGTTGACAGCTTTGATGCCTTCCTTGCTGAGAAGGTACTAGGGAAAAATGGCTCCAGCTACGAAGTCCAAATAAGTCCCAGGAGAACTGACTTAGAGGCCATATTTCACTAGAGTTTAGGACTTGCCTTCACTATTGGTACATAAATGATTCTCACAGGCTGGACAAGATCAACAGACCAAATAGGAGGTATGAGTGAAGTTTGAGTGCTTGTTATATAGCTGACCCTGTGCTAGGTATACACAGACAAGGATAAAATACTCTCTAGCAGTGGAGACAATGAAATGTATTGCTGTAGCGATGTAATGTGTGATAATAAAATATAACCAGGTTACCACAGGGAGCAGAAGAGGAATCCTGAACTCTTCTTAAGGAAGGCAGCACAGAGAAAAAGCATGACATCAAGGATAGGACTTGCAGGACCTACTAGTACTTGTCCTCGGGTAAAGGGCCATCGTAAAGGGCCATCTTCAGGAAGTCTGAGTTCCCACAGTGCCAAGTTCACAACTGTCATGTGACAGCATTTGAAATTCACCTGCACATCTTTTCTCCCCCCGCCTCTCTCTCTCTCTCTCTCTCTCTCTCTCTCTCTCTCTCTCTCTCACACACACACACACACACACACACACACACACTCTCTAGTTAGCTCTTGGAGCTTGGTGGCTGGGGTTCTAATAATTTATATTTGCCACAATTGGCACAAAGTTGTTTTCTAGTTTAGGACTAAAGTAGATGAACTGGAGACCTACCTGCAGAGAAGATTAGCAAGCATGTTAAGGATTCCATAAGTCCTAGAGGTAGTGTTAACTCAAATTCGCCTCCAACTGGCACTGCTGTGACTTTGATTTACTTCTAGAATAATTCAGAAATGTGTTTCTTTCCTTTGTTTACTTGAGTTTCTTGGTAAATTAGTTCCTTAAGCCTTCACACTACTAGCGTTTTTATCTAAGTTTGAGTGTGGATAAATATTGCCACACCCGAGTTAATTAAGAATAAATCAGTATAGCCTTCATTGATGGCTGTGGCACTGGTAGTTACTATGTCTGCTTGGAATGCAGAGAGAACTACAAAATGCGGACAGAATTAGGGCAAGCCATCCTGTAGTGTTTCCATCTCTTCCTAATATCTTCTTTGACATCTCAGCAGCATCACACCACTCACTATCACTTGTGAAGTTCTTGGGAACCTCCCAGACACTGTTCTACCTTGACTCTCCTGCCACTCCGATGCTCTCCTCTCTCAATTGCTGGCCTTCCACCTTCTAGAGAGAATTTTCCCAAGGCCATCTTTGGTCCTGTCTTTGCACCCTCTCCCTGTCTCTCTTTATTCTCTTAGAGAACTCATTCATGCTCATGGGCTCAAGTGTCAGTTCTATGCATGTGATTCCCTTCTATCCTCTGAATACCACATTCTCTCCAGACCTCACTGCTAGACTTGACCTCTATGTTTTCATTGCCCACTAGATGTTTCCATTTGGGTGTCCTGTCATCATCTCAAACTAAACATGCATGAAATTGAGCCTCCCAGTTTCCATTTCTCTGCCTGTGGCATCAGTATTCTCTCACCCACCCAAGCTCAAACCTGAGTCATGTTTGATGCCTCCTCCCCATTCTTCCTTTCCCAAACACAAGTTTTGCCAACTTTACTTGCAACATCTCTTTAGCTGTTTGTTCTTTCCATTCTGTCCACTAATTCAGGGCCTCAGTGCCCATGCCTTGTGGTCTTCCTGCCTGTAGTTTCTTCCTCCTTCCCTTTAGTCTTTCTTTCATATCTGGCCAGACAGATTCTCCAGAATGATTGTTTGTATCTTCTCTCTCTCCTGCTCAAAAACCTTCAAGAGCTCTCATCACCATAGATAAGTCCAACTCCTCAAGCTCAAGCCCCTGTATTTGGCCCCAACCCACCTCACTGGCATTATTCCACATGATATGAGTGGAGTCTCTGAAGCTGGACTCTGGGATCACATCTTATTCTTGACACTGACATGCAGAATGACCCTGGGTAAGTACTTAACCTCTCTGTGTGCCTGAATTTTTTCTTTAAAATCACTTTATAAAAATTTTACAATCATTTCTAGGGTTATAGTGAGGATTAAAGGCATTTAGAACAATGCTGGATGCATAATAAGCACTGAAGTGCTAACTTTTATTGCGCTGATCTGAACAGAGCATGCGCTGCGGTCTGCACACCTCTCCCCGGGTGCACACGTCCACCTCTTGTAGTTGCTTTTGCTCAGTCCAGGCTCTCCATCTGCTGGCTGACTCTCACTCACCCTGCAAGGGCCCTTATCTCCCATTTCCTTCCGGTAAACGCTTGTTTGTTTGGTGCTTTCTGCCTGCCGTGCTGCTAAGCCTGGGCTGGGTAGTGGTTGTGGCATGTCAGGGTGTATGAAGCCAGCCGTAGGCCACACATGGAGCATCTTTCTGGAGAGTTCATTTTATTTGATAGATAAGTTTATTCATCTTTATGTCCAGACATATCATGGAGTAGAATGCAAAATTGACCAAAGGTTTTTAAGATCAAACACACAACTACTAAGAATATTCAGAGTGGAGGGGTCTTGGGCCGCCCCCCAGCCCTAGTGGGGAGCCTGTATTCATTCAGCAGTGAAAAGGTCTGAGAAGCAGGTCTGAGTAGAAGAGGCTAGTGTGGATGAGGTAAGGCAGGGGTAATTCCAATGCAGCAGAGGTGGCAGTCCTTGTGCTAGGACCCTTGCAGTGAGGGTCACTTTAACAGGTGGTGGCCTTGCCTTCCTGAGAATTCGTATCTATTCCACTCCTACTTGCCCCGTGGTAGCACTTGTACCAGTATATCACGTTGATTTTTCAACTTTCTACATGGATAGGTCTGATCTCTTTAACACCATCCTAAGTACCTGGAGCACAAGTGCAGGTAGAGTGCAGGTGCAGAGTAAATGAGAGGGAAGACAGAACTGGTGTGAATTGGACCCTGGGCTTTACTGATTGAGCAAGTCACTTCTCTTGTCAGCCTCAGTTTCCTTACCTGTAAAACATGAATAATACCCTAATGAAGTTGTTCTAATCAGTCAACTAGATTAAGTATGTGCAGCATTCAGCACAATAGAAGACATGATGGCACTTAGTAAATATAAGATCCCTCCCAGCGTGCTAGGCTCTCAGCAAACATCTGATTCTCGAATGTTCCCACTCCTAACTGTACCCGCCTCCTGTGTGTAGTCTCACAGCCTCTGCCTCCTTTCCTGCCACAGTGTGTTCCTATCTAAGGCCATCCTCTTCCTGGCCCTTCTCACCTTCACAAAACCCTCACTCATAAACTGCCCAGTCAGTGTCCCTCCCTACTGGATCATGTAACTATGCTGTAATATCACTCTATCTAAAACAAAAGACAAAACAAAACAATAAATAAAAATCCCCTCTTGGTGCCACATCCCCTTCTAGTTACTACTCTATTTCCCTGCTCTCCTTATAGTCAAAAAGTCATGAAAGAGTTGGCATACTCCCTGTTTGCATTTCTGACATCCCCTCTGAGCCCGCCCCAGGCACACTCCTATCCTCATTCCTTCATGGAAACTGCTTATCTCCCGTGACCTCTGCATTGCAAGTCCAGCATGCTGCTCCCAGGCTTCTTTTACCATATGAGACCTTGACGCATTCTGCCCAGGCCTCCTAGACCCTACCCCCTCCTTATTTTCTCCAGTCTTGCCACTCCTCAGCTTCCTTTGCTGCAAACCCTCTCCATGATCAGTGCTCAATAAAATGGGGCTAAAAAGACCATTTGGTCGTTCTCTAGGCCTGTTTCCAAGGAGTCCCTAGTGCTATTTCTATCTGCCCCAGGATGGAGGGCTGATACAGCAAATGAAGGTGACACCTATGTGAGGAGTACTGATGACATCCTCCATGTCATACTGTCCCAGGGTTCCTTAAACATTGTTGCTCCAGCCAGTTCTCTTCTATCCCCAACACTGTCCAGTTCCCTACCAAAGCCCCTCACATGATGGCCATCTCTGAGGAGCTCCTGCGGGTTGAACCCCTCCCCCAAACCCTGCTTGGAACGCCCCAGGTATAAGTCTGTCTGGACTTTATGAACCATGGTTCGGCCCCATGGATGCTCCTCTGACAAAGGACCCATTTTCTGGAGGTGGAGAACACTGCACAGGCTAGGTGGCTGGTCTTACAGGTTTTCTCTGGTTGGTCAATGCAGGTGACTAAAGAGTACTTTCCCTGTGCACCACCAGGGGGCACCGGAGGCCGCTAAGCTCTTGGGAGGACTTGTCCGTTAGTTTTCTGAGGTATCTTTCCTCTCTCTCAGGTCTGTTAGGCAGTGGAAGGAGGTACATGCACCTTGTAAAAAAAGCCTGGTGCTGGCTCTCTCCCACCCATCAACTTGCTGGGTGATGCCAACGCAATTAGAGCCACATTAAGGGACAGGAGGTTAGGGTGCCAGGCTGTGTTATTTATTGATAAGCATTAGTGAACCCCTTGCCCGTAAGCTTAGCCAGTTCTATCGTCAGATTCCTAGCCCTAGGCAGGAAGTGCATCTGCTAAGTCTGTTCTGCCAAGACTGTGCCTAAATTGCTACAGCATCCCCAGGATCACAGTGTTTAGGTCAAGGAGGTATGTGGCAGGTATCAGAATGGTCATGTCCAGGTCCTTGTCCTCAGAGACCACCACCAATGCAGGAAGTGCTCCTTGGCTCTCAGAGGGGCTCTGCTGGTTAGATGGAGGGATGAGCACGGAGACTTCCAGATTCAGTCTCTCGTTCCCTGCAAGACTCCTTCCTGCAACGTCCTCCACAGCAGGGCTGAGCTGAGAGGCAGTAACTGGCTCTTGCTTGTGTCCTGAGGTTCTTGGGTAGCGAGCAGGAGACCTTAGGTGGGACCTCAAAGGGGATAGAGATGCCAGAGACTGTGCAAGGGGATTGGGGGAAGAGAAACCAGAGAGTCATTAAGTCCCTTGATATGATTGCACCAGCACCAGTTCTTGGCTATGGCCTGTAGTCCTTCGCCATCCCCTTGGTACTAAATAGATAGTACCTTGGGCCCTGGGTATACCCTTCCCCCACCATTACCTCAGAGGTAAGAATTATTAAAGTGCCCTAGCTGGTTTGGCTCAGTGGATAGAGCGTCACCCTGGGTTCGGTTCCGATCAAGACCACATGCCCAGGTTGCGGGCTTGATCCCTAGTAGGGGGCGTGCAGGAGGCCACCAATCAATGATTCTCTCTCATCATTTATGTTTCTATCTCTCTCCCTCTCCCTTCCTCTCTGAAATCAATATATATATATATATAGATAGAGCGTCATTTAAATTATATATATATAATTTAAAAGAATCATTAAAGCAACCTCTGCCCTCCTGAGCCAGGCACCTTGTAGAACTTTCTTGCTTGCTCAGCAAGGACTCCCAAGCCAGCATCCATTTCTCCCTCAGGTCAGGGCAGCCCCCACCCAGGATCAGCAGGCTGGTGGTGCCTGGAGAAGACTCTGGCTCCCCCTGAAAGCCCTCCCTGGCCTGTCTCTGACCTGAACTGGAAGCGGGGATCTCCAGGGTGGGTTTGTAGCACTTGATACACTTCTGGGGGAGGCTCCAAGCCCATCTGCTCTGCCCGATGCCAGCGCTGCAGCCTTGTGATCCCTGCCAGGGTGGGAAGAAGACAGGGGCCTCATGGTGGGCAGGGAAAAGTCCAGGCTAGAGAATGTGTGTGGAGGGGTGTGGAGGGACCTCTATACTCCCCAGTCTCAGGAGACAGTGCCCAAAAGGACAGGCAGGGGCTTGGATTGCTTCAGAGAGAGGTGGGTGATAGGACTGGTGCCAACATGTGCTTCTGGGGCTTGCGGGGTCCTCACCTGTGCAGGGCCCATACTGCCAAGCCAGGTCAAACTGCCTCAGCAGCTCCAGCTCCACTTCATCCACGCTCAGGGGCTGGATCTCTTCCTCTGCAACGACAAGCTGTTCCTCAGGCCTGCCCAGGACTGTACCCTGCAGGGCTGGCTCCCCGCCCCTCCCCTCACAGCTGTCCCTCTGCTTCTCAGCCCTCACCACCCCCTGCCTCTGTCTTCTGCTGCCAGGCCTGGTGTAGGAAGTAGAGGACATACTTCACTTCCCCTTGCATTGCCCACATCCGCCCACGTCCCATGTCCCTCCGTGTCCACTCCTCCGCCCTCCCCACACCCCAAAGACCTAGCTCTGTTGCCAGCTCCCCCTTGCTGAGTCCAGCGGGGCCCTCCCTTCTCTTCACTACTGGGTAGGAGTCAGTGATGAGCCGCTTCCGGCCCATGGCGGCCACCCAGGCAGGCGGAGAAGAAGGCGATTGCAGGGAAGGAGAGAGACAGGCCAGCGGGCACGAGAAAGACAGCTGCTGAGATGACAGAGGGCTGGGCCAGAGAGCGAGCCTGAGACCAGCAACCGGCAGACAGAAGGACCCGACAAGCAGAGAGGAAGTCCGCGGGTTCCAGGGAATGACGTCTCTCCCCTAGCCCTCCAGCACGCAAACATCAAAGACCTAAGCCAATGGCAGGCCGCCTCGGAGAGGCGTGGCCCGACTCCAGCCAATGGCAGACGGCGCAGGCAGAGGGCGGGGCAGCTGCAGCAGCTGTGTTCTAGGGGAGAAGGGGTGAGGCTGGGGTGGGGGACCTGTCAAAATGCCCCAGACTGCACCACCTCCTCCTGCGCCCCCCCATTGGCCCGCAGTGGGTCTCGGGGGACTTACAGAGCGTTATCCTCAGACTCTCACTTCCCGTTTTCCCTTCCTAGGCAAATGTTCTTTTCAGCCTCACTAATCCCCGTGGCAGGTTTGTAACTCCCCAGGGCCCAGCTGGAGCCTTCCACTCCCTCCCCCCCTCTTTGGCCCACAGCATGTTGTGGGGGCAGGTCTGGAGGTCCGAAGAGAGTTTGGGCTAATCCAGCCCTCTTCCCTGCTCCCACCCCACCCCCACTGGCCCCAGGAGAGCTGGCTGGAGAAGCCCATGGATCTGGAAAGCTCCTTTCTCACAGTCTGCGCCCAAAGATACTGCCCACCCTTGGTCCAAGCAAGCGTTTGCCTTGTCGGCTCTCCTGGGGTCCCACGGCCTGTTCCTGCGGCCCTGCTAGTCAGGAAGATTCCACACTGAGCAGGAGGCCAGTGTGTTTGGATCCCCAGTTCTTCACAGCACAGTCTGCATGCCTGTATCACACTAATGTGAATGTGTGAGCAGAAAATACCAACAATAAACCTAACACTTATATGGCACTTACAGTGTGCCAAATACTGTCCTAAGCACTTTCCCACAGATTCACTCCACTAAAATGGATGTAAAATGGTTCTTGAAAGTAGGAAGTACTGATGGTCACAGACATTGTGGGGCCCCAGTTAAACCATAGCCCCTCTGTGCTCCTCTGGAGCTCACCGGCTATAGGGGCAGGCAGATGGGACTCAGAAGTTGTCCGTGCAAGGATAACATTTCTAACAAACAGGAGAGGGGGGAAGGGTGGGTCAGAGATGGGTTGGACCACAGGGCTGGCTTAGCACTGGAAGACCTCCTGGAGGAGGCAAGCTGAATAAACAGTGCCTCTCAATTCTCCACCCATGACCTTTGTCCCTGGGCTCCTGTCATCGCTGACTCACCCCTACGCCCGCCTCCCCCTCACCAACTTCCTGGCAGCAGGCAAAAGTGCTGGCCAGTGGGAGTCTGGGAATCGGCACAGGGACCAGCCCTGCTCTAATCACCCTCTAGGGATCCCATCCAGTTCTTCCCTTCAGGGGTACGAGGGCCTACGCAGGGCACTGCCTTCCCCTTCTTCTACTGCTCTGGAGTCTGAGTGCCCTGTGACAGGAGGGCAGTGGGCACAAGTGAGAACACTAGAGAGTGGGCCACTGAAGGGGAGGAGAGGAGCAGGCATGTCTCAGGGGCCTCCTCCCGCCTGGCTCTCCCCCTCTACTTCCTTGGGGATGGGCCACGTCTGAGTCCAGAAGTGAGAGCTCGTGGCGCATTGCACAGAGCTGCAGGGCCCTTCCCTGCTTCATTGTTTGGGCTGGGCCTGATCTAATCCCCCGTCTGCATTATAGACTAAGTGGGGCCCACATTGAGGGGCCCAGCTGTGTTGGGAGGGAAGCAGGGAGGCCCTCTCCACCAGGCCTACAAAGGGTTTAGGTGTGGGGTCCAGTCAGGCACTGAGTACTCTATGGAGGAATGATGGTGTCCAGCTCTGTGGGACTGACGACCCTCTCCCCAGGGGGCATTGCCAGAGGTGTATGGCACCCAACTCCTAAGCCCACAAAGCCCTAAGGGAATAGGGAGCCATGGGTGGGGCAGATCCCTCCTCATTCCTGGCCCCTCCCACCCCTGAAAGCTGATAGCCGTGAGGCCCTGCCACCGCCCAGGGAGCGTGAAATGGGGTGTGCCACTGGGCGGCCACAGTGGTTCCTACTGCCTATTCCCTCTCCCCTCTGGCACCCTGACCTGCTCTGTGGACACTGTCTGGGTCATCCCTGCCAGCTGCCCCCAGCTCTGCCTGGCCCAGGCCCTTCTAGCCTCTCTCACCCAGCCTGGAAGATGTCTCCCTTGGCCTTCAGCTTCACCCAGTACCCCCAAAAAAAGGAGAATCAGGGCAGTCAGCTCTAGTGCAGGCACCCGAGGACTGGCTTGCAGGAACTCTCCACTGGCAGCGTTGCCCTTCTCTCCTAGTCGATAGCAATGGGATCGAGCTCCCAAGGTTCGAAGGAGTTGGCACCCAGGGGTGTAGAACCAACTCTGTCCAATTGGCATCTTTCCTTTACTTGGCATCTGGCTCCTTAAGGTGTTCTGGCAACTAGACCAGACTTTCACCTTCCCTTCTTTACTTCCCCAACCTTGTCTGCTCCCTGTCACCTTTCTTCCTTGAACCCCTGCCCTATTCAGGCAGCCTCCTGGCCCATCCCCAAAGCTGCTGTCGGGCCTGTCACAGTTCAGGCTTCAGGCTAGAAGGCCAGGCCAGAGGTCTGAGTTGGAGGCTAAATTCTCTCTCCTTTAGGGAATTTCCTGAGACTAAGGCCTAAGTTCCTGTGTCAGCCATAACCCCCAAAGGTTGGTGATGGGACTAGCAGGAGTGACCTTTGTACTTTGGCCTGGGAATACTCAAGGCCCTTGCTTCATAGTCAGGACCAAAGTCTTGGAGGAACTCAAAAGAAAAGGAGAGAAAAGAACTGAAACAGAAGCTCAGAACCGTCCTGAGGGCTGAGGCCCACCGCTGACTGCTCCAAGGGGAAGGGGGATTAAACCTGGCTTAGCTCAGACAATGAGGCAGGATGGGGGGGCCTCAGCACCACGCATGCACTCTAAGAGCCCCTTTCCTTCCCCCAGCTCATGATGGAGCTTGTGGGAAAAGCCAGCTAGAGCTAGGAAGGTGGGGGCAGGTGGAGGGAGGGAGGGAAGCAGCTGCCTGGGGCCCAATGGGCTGTGGGGCATTGCCCGCTCTCCTTCCCTCTCCCTAGCACACCCCTTCCTCAGGCCCTCAGGCCCTGCCACCCACCCAGAGCCCCCACATACTCATACACCCTGGGCCCCATTCCCCACCCTGTGGGCCAAAATTCTTTCAGGCAGCTCCTCCTAGTCCCTCACAAACCTCCCAGACATCCCACCTCAAGTTCTTCCAGGTTCTCTGGCCTAGTAGGCTTACGGGGTGGGAGCCTGGTAGAAGGCAAAGGTTCCCCTGGGTCTGGGTTTTTTTGCCACTGGATGTCTCTTTTGTCCTGTCCCAACCACCCACTCCAAACCTCCTCTCATCACCTCCCTTTTTACCTTGGCCATCCTTCCTTGTAAAGTTCTGGGGAGATTTGAAAAGGGGCCCTTCTAGCCATTCCTCAAGGTGGCCACCAGGTGTCAGACTTTGTCCAGCTGGGAAGAAGTCCTAGTTGGTTTCCACCCCATCAGCCAAGCTTTGGAGATCAGGACAAGTTGGAGAGGGGCCTAGAGGACACCTCTGAATGGAGACTGAGGGACCCTGAAGGTTGAGCTGAGGAAAGGGCTGGATTTCTGGTTCTAAAGCTCACAGTATTCTCTTACTGCCCCAGCCCTCACCCCACTGACAAGGGCTTTGTCCACTGTTGGGAAATGGGGGGAACCAGGCTGAGTCAGGGAGCTCAGGAATTGAAGTGACAAAGGCAGGGGCAGTTGTGGCTCCAGAGAAGGAGGGGCTGAGAGGAAGCCACCCATCAGAGCATTCAGCCAGGCCTGGGTCACTGGTCGTTGCCCTCTAGGTTCAGGAGAACAAGGGCCTCCCTTGGCCCTTCCCCATTTGGGGTGGGTGAGTGTGTGTGAGTGTATGTGTGTAACATGAGTGCTTGAATGAGTCTCCTAACTTACTGAGGGGGCCCTAAGTCCTGGATGTCGGGTCAGTCTTTGCAAAAAGTGGGCAACTGGCAAGGTGTGACTACCCTTTTGCCACCCTGTGTCTGATCCTCTTCTGTACCCACTCCTATGACCCTGGAAATTGTCCTCCCCCCCCCTCCACCCATATGACAGTTCTCCATCTTAAACACAGGGTTGTTAGATGAAAATGAGATTTCTAATCCACTCTGTAATATCTGGAAAAGACAGGGAGAAGGGCCTTCTCTCCCCCACCCTCTCACTTTCCCTAGGCTTCCCGGGAACAGATGCCTTTTAGAGACAACACCCTCCCTCCGTGTCACTGAAGGGCTTCAGGTATTCTAAGTTCTTAGGTTGACCTCTGGATACCTGGGCCCCTGACTATAAGACCACACTTAAGAGGTGAAGCCTAGGATAACCAATAAAAACTCATCACCTCTCCTGAAACAGCTGTGGATGCAGAATGACAAACCCACTCACAGAAAAGCCTGATAACATGCCATTTACCAGGAGCTACCTGCCCCTTGACTAAAGTACCGAAACCCAAGGAGGGGCTCCCACTGCCAACACCATCAGTAGGGGGCTATTTGGAAGAAAGTTCAAAAACTCAAACTATGAAATGTCCTCTATGACTGGGTTTTCCTCTGTGTCCACCTCCCTAACCCTGCTCCTAGGGTGCACCCTCTGCATTCTTAGCTGGAGAGAACTCCAGCACTCATCCACCCTTCTCCTCCCAGTCTCGCTCCCATTTCCCGTGGCTACTTACCTGCCTGCACTGTGCTCTGCAAGGCACATAGCCACTCAACAGTACAATCTCTAACCTTCTAGAGTCCCACATACTCACTGCCCCATGGTTCACTGCCATTCCTGCCTTGCCAGTCCTCAGCTTTGGGGAATGCCCTTTCTCCACTCTGTCCCTACCTCTGGGCATCATCTCTCACTTGCTAGGGAATGTCACAATCCATGCCAAATGGTTGGTGACAACAGAGCTGTTTGCTGATGTTACCTGGTTCCTTGTGGCTGCCCAGCAACCCTTTTAATTTTCCTGTGCTTGTCTGTGATTCCATTCCCCAAGTCTCTCCATTCTTCCACTGCCACTCCTCAGGCAGCAATGACATGTTTAGATCTCTTCTGTTTAAAAAACAACAACAGCAAACCAACCAAACAAACAAAAAACCTTCCATGCTTCTGTTACCATCTCTAGATATTCCTTTTGCCACCAAACTTCTGAGGGAATATATTTACCCCTTCTACTTTCTTATCATCTCCTTCTTTAATCTCACAGTTTGGTATCTGCCTCTTAACTGCTTTTGCAAGGGTCACCAACGACTGCCTGATTTTACCAATGCCAGTGGATTTTGCCCATATTCTCTCAGTTCTTCTGGGGCATCTGACTCTGTCAATCAGCAGCTTCCTTAAAACTCTCCTCTCTTGACTTTTAGCACATTATTGTCTGGACACACTTTAAATCAAATTATGGAGAACTTTAATCTGTGTTCGGCATTGTGCTAAAATGCTGTAGGAATACAAAGATGAATAGATTACAGAGCCTGCCTTCAAGATGCTACCTGCTTTAAAGGGAGATGGACACACTTAACTATCCCTTGCTTTGCCCATCCTTCAAGAATGGTGTCAAATCCCACCTTCTTTATTTATGCAAAAGCACTTACTGTGTGCAAGGCACTGGAAATACACAGTGATCTCAGACAATCCTTGCCTCCCTTCTAGGGCTCACAGACTAGCGGAGTCCTCACTCAACTGAAAGCAATTGCTTCTTCCTTGATGTCCATAGTATTTTCCCTGGGTTTTTCTAAACTTAATCAAATTCTACCTTGGATTCTAGCATTTGTGAGGAGGGAAGGAAGTAACAAGTTGTTTTGTTCAACACACTAATTGATCACCATCTTTAGGCTGGAGCTTGAGCTGGGTGCTGGGATAGACAGATGGGGAAGACTCGGAATCTGTCCCCCAAAAGCTTACAGTACAGCAGTGTGGGACATCCCGCTCTTCCCCCTGTATTCTGTACAGCCCTTTGCTTGGTGCCTTACATATAACAGCTGCTACTCATTTTGCCCCTGCATGGAGACAGCCCAGATGCCCTCTCCTTCTGTCTTGTTAGGCAGAAGGCAGGGCCATGCCTGGGCAGATTTCTCTCCCTGAAGAGCCCCGACCCTGCAGGGTGGGCATGTTCCCTCCAAGTTGGGCCAGGTGACTCAGGGACATTCAGCAGAGCCTGGCTTGCCCCACCCACGCGCAAGTCCAATAGCTCTGGCCTCTCCCTTTCCAGTGGTTCATGTACTTGTGGGGACCGCCCAGTGCATACGACATGTGTATGCTTTTGTTCCTTATTGATTCAGGTAAGCTGGTCTTCTCTTCCCAAATAGACTGATTACAGGCTCTATAATGGCTTCTTTTATGTTTCCTATACCAAGTAGCACAGTGATAGGCAGGTAATGTCTTTAAAATATTTATCAACTGCCTGGCCAGTGTGGCTCAGCAGTTGAGCATCTACTTATGAACCAGGAGGTCATGGTTCGATTTCTGGTCAGGGCACATTCCTGGGTTGCAGGCTCAATCCCCAGTGGGGGGTGTGCAGGAGGCAACCAAATTAATGATGAGCCAATTCTCTCATCATTGATGTTTCTGTCCCTCTCCCTTCCTCTCTGAAATTATATATATATATATATATATAATTTTTTAAAAATATTTGTCAACTGATTGACATCACCATCACTTGTTACTTCCTTCGCTTAGGGTACTGTCTCCAGGAGGCTCTTGTAAAATATCCATGTATTACCTGGGAGCAGTTAGCCCATTAATTTATCCAGCAGCTCTTCACTAGATTGTTGACACGCCATATGCCACAAGTAATCTGTTTTACTAATCGCTGCTGCTGTATTTAATATCCCATTTTACAGATGGGGAAACTGGAGAATAGAGAGCTTTAAGTGATTTGTCCAAGGTCATTTAGCTCATAGGTTATGTAACTAGAATTTGAGCTTAAGCCACCCCTTAAACAGCATCTCTCCTATTAACTTGCAGACCGGTATGATTTTTTCTCCTTCCCACTAATCTGTCTTACATTGGAAAGGAGTAGTCACAGCTGAGAATCACGACTTGGCTGTGGTCTGTTGCCCTCCCTAGCAGATGAAGGGCAATGAGAAAGCGAGGGTCACTGCTGGGGAGAAGGAGCCCAAAGGCAGCCACAGGTGGAGGTTCTGGGGAAACTGAGGACTGAATGCATGGGCTGACTACTTGGAAAGAGCACCGGAAAAAGAGCTAAACTGTTTTTCAAAGAGACATACCTCTGAGACCTTTAAAGTAACCCAGAGAGGTGAGGTGGACTGAGCAAAGGCGGGGAGAAGGAAGGTAAGTGACAGGTAAGAAGGCTTTTGGGAGGACTAAAGGAATATGGCGTTGATGGGAGAGCTGGAGTGAAGTCTGCTGTGTACACATCTTCCCCGACAGCATGGAGAGCCTCTTCCCCAAGCTCTTCGCATCTCTGAGTCAACCTTTGGGCTCCCGGGCTCTCCTCGCAGCCATGGGAGCCAGGGGACCGGGGAGGACCAGGAGAACCAGTAATGAGAGCAGGGAGGAGGGGCAGTGCCAAGCAGAGATGCTTCTGGGGCAAGCATTTTATTTGTTAATACAAGAATAGAAAATTTGCAATAAATATAATCTAATAAATAACATCTCCAAATAAATAAATATTAATACAACAAACAGAGTCATGAGTGGTTGGGGCTGGGGTGCAGGGCCTGGGGGAGCTGCCCCATACACCCCGAAATGCTACTGCAATGTAAACTTTCAGGAAATCCTGTGGCTGTGGCTATGGTTGCCCTCCCCAGGCTGGGCAACCCACAGATACCCTGGAAAAGGGGGCAGAGAGGAGGCACCATGATGCTGGCAAGAAAAATCAAGACAAGGTCCTTTGGTTGCCACCCTGTGCCACAAGTGCCTTGGTGACCCCAGGGTCCAGTCTGTGCCTGCCCCTCTGCTTTCAGTATTACCTCCAACGCAGACCTCACCTCTTCCATTTTTAATACCATCTCTTCCTGTTTGGACTTGCCACTGTGCTTGTTTCCTGAATTGAATGTATGGAGTTAATTGGGGTAGGGGAGCAACACCCATCCAAGGAGAGTGAGGCAGCAAAGGGCTTCACCCCAGAAAGGCACATGCTGCGGTGGCCCCCTCCCTGCCCTACAGGCATGCTTCCTGCAAGTGCCGCTTAAGGGGCTGGTTGGGCACTGACAAGTGGTTGGCAGGAAGCAGGAGGCTGTGAGAGCCTTTACACCGACCCGAACCACTTCGGGCTCCCTTGAGCATTACTTCCTGTAGAAATGGGAGGGGGCCTATTGCACCTCTTCTCCAGACCTGCAGCACTTTGGGAAGTAGGGAGGGGATGGGTCTTATTGCATCATGCCCTCTTCCAAGTCTGGGAAGGGCCAGAGGCTCACAGCTTCTGTCTCCTGGCTCAACAAGTGTTGGCACACAGGTTTCTCCCTCCCAGAGTGGGAGCAGGGTTGGAAAGGGGAGGGGAAAGAGGAGGTGGTAAAGGTCAAAGATTAGAAGCCATGGGTCCCCAGGTGCAGGGTGACAGCAGCTGCTGGAGGTTGCATCTTCTTCTTGAGCCGGTTGAAGTCCTTAGCTGAGCGCCAAAGCCAGGTCTGCAGCTCCTTCAACAGCCAGAAGTCATCCATCTTTTGGAGGAAGTCACTGTGGGCAGGGCCAGGGGCCCAGGTGGGCTCAGTCCCGGGCAGAGGCTGGGGCAGCGGGTAGCCCAGAGCTGCCATGACACCCGCAATGCTGCCCAGCAGGCCCTGGAGGCTGGTACAGAAGTGGGCCAGGCTTCGACGCAGCTCAGCTGCAGCAGCCTGGCGGTTGAGGCCACGCAAGTGGCACAGAAGGTGGCTATAGGCCTCGTAGTTCTGGGTCAGCCGCAGTTTGTCATTGAGGCTTCGCCAAACTTCCAGGTTGACAGTGGCCCTGGGTAGAGTCTCTGCCCCCAGCCGAGGTGGGTTGAAGTCAGGCTCGTTGAAAGGGGGGCCCAGGTAGTTCAGCTGTGGAAAGGAGAGGGCGATGGGGAAGGAGGAGGGCCAAGCAGCCAGCTTGCCACCACCAGGAGATACCTGTCCCCAAAGCTTCTATTTCCTGTGTCCCCGACACTGGCCCCATCTCCATGCTAGATCTCTCTGTTCACAGGCCAACCCTAAGTTTCCCCATGGATGTCGTTTGCATGGAGATGACAGTTGAAGCAATGAGGGTACTGAGCTCTCCTGTGGAGAGGTGTAGAATGAGGAAAATTGAGCAGCAGAAACTCAGGGAGGACTCGCTGATCGGCTGGCTGTGTGTGCAAGCCTCTGGGGAGGGCCCACCGGGAGGCAGGGCAGAAGCGGAAGAGGAGCGATGGGGACCCAGGAGGCCAGGCTGCAGAGGTAGAAGGTGGACCGAGAGTGCAGAGCCAAGAAGAGTTCAAGAAGGCAGCAGTGCTCAACAGTGTGGCTGTAAAACAGAGAGCAAGGAGAATGAGCCTCAGGAAATACTGTTGGGTTTGGCAAGAAGGAGGTGCCTGACAACCTTGGAGAGAACCGTGCAGTGGCCTGGAAGCCAGATCGCAGGGGGTTAAAGCGTGAGTGGGTGGAGAGGAAGTGGAGGCAGAGGGTGTAGACCACTCCTTCGAAAAATTTGGCAGGGAACGCCAGGAGAGAAAAAGGGTCGGGAACTAGAGGGGGTAGCAGAGTCAAGCAAAGGTTTTCTGGACAGGAAAAGCAGGTCGAAAGGCAGAGGGGCCTGTGGGCATCAGAGTTCCATTTGCCCAGTCCCACCAGCTGAAGGGCTGAGGACAGAGGTACACACGAACCTCCAAGGAAGGGCTCAGCCCATAGAAGCAGGACTGCAGAAGGAAGAAACTGAGGCAGTCTCAAGAGCTGGGCTGGAGGAAGGGTATGGAAGTCAGTGTAGGGAAAAGGACAGCCTTGCCAACCCCCGGGGGAGAAGCCTGGGGCCCAGGGAAAGGGCTGAGGGAGACAGTTCAGCAGGGAGAGAAAGGGAGAAGAGAGGGGCGAGGCCTGGGATAGGCAAGGGCCCAGGGGGAGGTTCACACGCTGACAAGCACAGAGACAAACTAATTTCCTCGGTGTATCCTGGGGCTGGAGCCAGCTCCCCCGCCACCCTCCTCCCCTTTCTTTCCCTGGCTCCAGAGTAGGGTCTGGGATGTAGAGGAGGAACACGGGAAGAGGGGGCCAGTTCCCGTGGTCCTCGCTAACTCTGACCCTCCTTCCTCCTCTCCTGGGCTCTCCAAACACCTCTGGACTGCCCCCAAATTCTTATGGCAGAACTTCAATCCACACCCTGAGCCCCCTGCCACTACTGGCCTGGGTTCCCTGCAGCCCCCTTCCCACAAGTCCCCCCTAGGAGGCCCATCTAGGATGGGAGAGGCAGACAGAAGAAAGGCCCATGGGTCCAGAGCAGCAGGGCCCCAGGTCTGGGGCAGAGGCGAGCTGGAACATAGGCATGGGAGGTGGGGCCCCTCCATCCCCACCCAGCCCCACCCTTGCAAGAGACACCACAACACGGTGTAAACAGAGGAGACTTCCCTGGCCCCCAGGGGGAGGCGGGTGGCTGGGCAGTCAGCCAGTGGGGCATTGGGCCAAGGCGGGTGCGAGGCCTGCCCACATGCCTAGTCCTGGGGCCAGGGATGGGGAGGAAGGGGCACCCTAGAGGGAAGGGCAAGAGACAGGCCAGACATGGAGACTGCTTGGAGCCAAAGGTCCCCTCTTCATCACCCCACATTCATCAGGACCCCTCTACCATTCTCTTCCCCCACCTCCTCTTCTCATTCTTTGCCCAATTCCCAGACCCCTAAAGCCGCCCCTAATACTCACATAGGTCCCAGCCAAGCTGCGGAGTTGGTGCTCCAGGTAGCGGGTGAGGTCATAGGTTTTCTGGATGGAGGGACCAGGCCCTGGGTCCCCTGTGCGATTGAGGGCTGGCACTGCAGGGAGGTGCCAGAGCACGGTGCACAGGCAAGCTAGCATCCCCCACGAGTCCCCTGTGGACAAGAAGCATGAGGGTGGGCCTGGCCTGGTAGAGGTAGCAGCTGGCAGCCCCTCAGGTGTCTGTCCCCACCTTGGGCTCAGAGGGAGGAGTGGGACGCCAGATGGGAGGCAGCGGGGGATGGAGGAGGGGAGCATTCCTGGCCCCAGAAAGCGTTCGCTCGTTCGTGTGTGTGTGTGTGTGTGTGTGTGTGTGTAGGCATGTATGTTATACATTATACCAGTAGATACTGGAGAGTATATTTGTGGGTCAGCTAACAGTCACTGTATGTGCCACCATGTAGGTATGTGTACAAGGAGGGCCAGGTCTAGGGACACAAATCAGTGTTCCCAAGTTCCAGGTGTACCTCAGCCTCCTCTCCCAGCCTCTAGTTCCACTGCAGCTTGCGGGGAGCCAAGGGGTTGGGGTGGGAAACAGCACATGTCAGAGCTGCCAGTTGAGAGCAGTCAGCCCTGGGGAGAGGTGGAGGAGAGAGGCTGTCTCCTCCCTCTTCTGTACCCCTCCCCCCCCAACTAACAAGTCCCAGTCAAGCTATAGGAGGCAAGGTGTAGGGTCAGACCACCAGGGTCAGGCGGAAGGACACAGGGCTGGCTCATGCGGTCAGTGGTGGGGACATTCTAGGATATGATCCTTGGTGTGGAAATGCAGGATGGGGTTAATGGAGAGTTAACGTTCACTCTCAGGGAAGTGTGCTCCATTCTTATATAGCAGCGGTTCTCAACCTGTGGGTCGCGACCCCTTTGGGGGTTGAACGACCCTTTCACAGGGGTCGCCTAAGACCATCAGAAAACACATATATAATTACATATTGTTCTTGTGATTAATCACCATGCTTTAATTATGTTCAATTTGTAATGATGAAAATACATCCTGCATATCAGATATTTACATTGATTCATAACAGTAGCAAAATTACAGTTATGAATTAGCAATGAAAATAATTTTATGGTTGGGGGTCACCACAACATGAGGAACTGTATTAAAGGGTCTCGGCATTGGGCAGGTTGAGAACCACTGTTATATAGGGTTTTAGATGGGGAAAAGGTTAAGCTGCATGAGGCTTTCAATCAGCCTGCAGTGGAGGGGGGCAGGGAGGGTGGAAGGAAGGGAGAGGGAGAGAGAGAATGGTGTATTCAATGAATTGTGTCTGTCAGCTGATGGCGCTGGAGAGTCTGGACATCTGTGGATGCCAGAGGCCAGGGGTCAGTGCTGTGAGAACAGACATAAGTGGTTGGGAAACATGATTTTCCCAGCTTTTAGGTGAGGTCCAAGATCAAGAACACTTGGCCAGGATTCAGTGGGCATTGGGACTGGGTAAAGCAATTAAGGTTAGGATAAGGTAAGGCTATAATTGGCATTGGGCTAGGTTAGCTTTAAGGACTGGGTTGCTTTTAAAGTTTCAGGTTAATTTATTGGGATTTGGCTGAGTGAGTGTGGTTGAGGTTTGAGTCCAGCTGGGGGATGTGGTTAGGTTTGGGCAGGCAGAGGGTTGGCTGGGACTACGGTTTGTGAATGTGTTGATTCAGATTTTCAGATAGGGTGATGCATGGCATGTCACTAAGAATGTTGCTAGTGGATTTTGAGCTTGGATAGATGTGAGACCATGAGTGGTTTTTTCCTTCTAATTTATATTCTATACTTTCACATTTTCTGCAATGACTTATGTTGTTTTGATAAAAGTAAGTTGGATATGGGTTTAACAACTTGACTGTACTTAGAGTTAGGAGAGGTTTGAGTTAAGACTAGGTTAAGTTTACAGTTAGTCATAATACTGGGTCAGGGTTTTAGAGAGGGTAAAACTTGGGAGGGTTTAGGATTCAAATTGTATAGAATGTCTCTTACAGAGTGTGAGGATCAGGTGGGGACTCCTGCAGTGTCCCCAACTGGTCAGTCTTTATATATACTGATTTCAGAGAGAAAGGGTTGAGAGAGAAATGAAGGAGAATCATCAATCGGCTGCCACCTGCATGCCCCACAGTGGGGATCAAGCCTGCAACCCGGGCATGTGCCCAAACTGGGAATTGAATCATGACTTCCTGGTTCAGAGGTCGACAATCACTGAGCCACGCCAACTGGTCAGTCTTGACCTTCAGATGTGTGACTGACTGGCTTTACTGATGGAGCATGGGAGTAAGGGTACTGCTAGTCTCAGGGACCTGCCCTTTTGGTGAAGGGCTCTTGGTGTTTGTGTGTGTGTGTGTGTGTGTGTGTGTGTGTGCGCGCGAGCGCTCACAGGCATGTGTTTTAGGACAGAGAGGAGGGTCAGGCACATAACTGCTCCCTGAGGAGACAGGCTCCCTTTTTGCTCTTCCCCCATCTCCAGCCTGTGCATTCCCTCCTGAATGTTCCTTTCCTTACTCTTTCTTTCTATCTGAGCTCTTGCTCACTCTGAGTTCCTTTCTAGTCCCTGTTCTTCACATCCCAAGACAACTCCAGGCCCTTCTCCTCTGCATGAAGCCTTGGGCTACTCTTAGCCTGGCTGTCTGACTGAGTCACTCCCAAGATCCTACTGGTACAAGGTGGGGTTAGTTTTGGAGGTAGAGACCTGCTGAGATGGGCAGTGGCCCTTCCAGCCTTGAGGTAGCTTTCAAGATTGAGTCTGGCCTGGCTGGCAGCCAGTGGCAATGCTGAGGGTCCTGGCTGAAGCAGCAATTGGGAGCTGGGCTTGCCTCTTTACCCCACCCTGCTTTGGGCAGCCCTGCTAGACAAGAGTTCTGGGGCAGGGCTCTGCTTATCCCATTGTGGGGGGGGCAGTCAGGAACCCAGCTATGGGACTTGTTTCCCCCCTCCTCTTCTGGGCCCTGTGGGACATCCCTGGGGAGCACTGGCTCCCTACACAGGGACAGCAGGGGGAGAGGGGGAGAAGCCTTTGGATAAACAAGAGCTAAGTCATCTGGGCAGAAAAACGGCTCATGAAATTAACCAGACAAGGCCGGTGTTTCCAGGAATATTTCAGTTCTGAGGTAACTGTCACTGCAATGTGGGTGGGTGGGGGGGTGCAAGGGAGAGAGCAGAAGGATCCAACTGACTGACCCATAGAGAGAACCAGAAAGAGGGAAGGAGTCTCAGAAACCCAGAGGGGAAAGGGGCTAGGAAAGGAGAAAGGGGACAGGACGGGGCTCTACCCTCTGTCATGACAGCTTCCACTCCGGGCAAAATGTTCCCATATCTCAGGCAGCAAAAGCATCTGGGGCAGAGACAACCTGTGGTTTAGTTGTAAGTAGCTTGCAGCTTGCCTGTGTCCCTAGGAGGGAGAGTGCAGTGGGCATCCTGGAGCCCTCATTGATCCTCCTCTCCAAGTTCATGGTGTGCAGGTGGACCTGGCCACTAAGGACTGTGTCCTGGGCCCCATCTCCCAGTCCTGGCACCCGACCAGCTCCCGCCCCAGCTCTGGCTCTGGCTGCTGCCCACTGATTGTTTACATCCCGTCTTCCCCTGTGTTTATAAATCCGGCTGAGCACGTGAGGAGCTAATGAGTGCAGCTCACGTTTCCTGCTGCAGCCCCCCTCACCCCCCCATCCTGGCCCCCGCCTGGGCCGGCCCCTAATTCCATCCAGATCCCTGGGCTCTGGGAACCGAGGCCCCCCTCATGAACACTCACAGGCACACCTCGGACTGCAAGCGCATAGCCACCCTGACACGCTGCACAGACAGGCACACCTGTGTGTGCATGCCTTTGGCCAGCTGCCCCTCAGTCCGTAGCCTGTATCCCCCAGGCTGACCTCACTCCACGCACTAAGGGTGTGGGGCTCGGCAGTACAGATGTGCCAGGATGGGCAGGGAGAGTAGGACAAGTCAGCCGGGAGATTCTGCTCCTGGAACTGGTGGCTAAGAGCTATCAGCGGAATGCATAGGAGCCAGGGAGGCATCGCAAAGCTCCAGAGTGTTGGGCTAAATGTGGGAGCCAGAAGGAAAAGCCCTGCCCTCAGGCCAGATCAGGAAAGCATCCTGGTGACTTTGAAGGGGTCTGTTGAGGGGAATTGGGGGAATGAAGCAGGTTAGGGGTGGTGCCCACTGTGGTATGAGATCCAGGCATTGAGACTAAGAACGGGTCCATGGGGGAGCTTCCCAACCTGCCTTCCCAGGGAAAGGCCCACAGACACAGCGGGACTTTCCTGTCCTCTGGGCTGCCTGGCCTGCCCTCCCCTCCATCCTCTCCTTGGTTCCTGTCCCCCAGGCTGCTGAGAGGTGGCTTAGTGAGTGAGTACACATGAGCCCCCAGAAGTCAGGAGACCTCGCTTTGCCAGCAACCCATCAGGTAATGGGGCTGTAGTGAGGGGTTGCACCATGCATGCTCAAGTTCCTCAGCAGAACCACGTGGGGCTCTGTCTCTGCTGTCCTCCTCAACAGCCCCCTCCCTGCCCTTCTCTTCCACCTAAATGACAAGAAACTGAGGCCTGGGAAAGAAGCAGCCAGGCAGGCCAGCTGCCTTGCCTTGTGAAGTCCATGTGGACACAGGAGTTGGGCTTTCGTTGGAGTGAGAGGGTTCTGGATGGTGCTGCAAAAGGACCCTGGGGGTGCTCAGAGAGAGCGGAGGCCAGGGAAGCTGGGCCACCGGCTTTAGCGAGGCAGGGGAAGAAGTTAGGAAATAGTAGGGGTCAGTGTGCGGGTGAGTTTCAAAGGGTGTTGTTATCCAAAAGGCCTGGGAGGGGCTCTGAGGGATCAGGCAGGAGCCCCGGTGTGAACAAGCAGGTGGGATTGTGGGGAGGAATGTGAAGTGTCACTAGCAGCGAGCGGGTGTGGCAGGGTGGTGTGCACAGTGTGACTGGGCAGGAGTGCGGGCTCTGCGAGGGGAGCGGGAGGGGGAGAGACTGGGGCAGCTGGGTGACAGTTGCTGCCATCACTGCCTGGTGCCCTTTCTCTGGTTGACCTCGTGGCTCCGGCGCAGTGAGTGTGCTTGAGCCAGTGGTGGAAGCAGGTCTGGTCCGTCAGGGGGATGAGCCTCGGTGTCCCACGGAAGGGGCATTGTGTGTGGGAGCCCAGGAGGGGTCTGCGGGGACCCTGAGAGACGGGGATGTCCGCCGGGGTAGAGAGCGCCTGACAGGAGTGTGTCCAGTGCCCCCCGCCCACAGCCTCTCTAAAGGGCTCGGATTGCTCCGGCCGCGGAGGACCGCCTGCTCCCCTTGGCTCCGGGCAGCCCTCTCCGACCCCTGCGGGAGGGTCAGGCCGGGCGCAGGAGAAAGCTGGGGACGGGGTCCTCCGGGGCCGGAGGTCTCTGGGGGAGGGACTTCTGGACAGCAGACAAGGAAGGGGGGAGGGTCAGAG